ACAGCAGCTGCCCCGAGCGCTTGCAGCGCTTCCCCCAGCGCTCCTCACGTGCCGCCAAGGGGCAGCCACCCGCCGCTCCCGGCAGGCCGGCCCCAGGGAGAAGCTGCCGCGGCCCCGACCCTTCTCCTGCTTCCCGCTCAGGGTCCCCCGGAATTGAGCCGTGCCCAAGCCCGGACACAGCCCTGGCCCAGGAGGCAGAGGCGCTAGAAGCACAGTGTGGGGGTTTTTATTTTCTTCCCCTAATGATGTTAAACATAAAGTGACAATCCTTTTAATTCAATCGGGTTTTATTTTGAACATTAATAGGGTTAGAAAAGGGAATCAAAGCACGCTGCTACAAAAAAAAAAAAAAAGGCTTGTAAGTCTTTTGGGTAACCATCAAGAGGGAAGGTGGCAGCTCTTTTTCTTCTTTATTCTTTTTCTGGAGAGTATTGCATGCTTCATAGCTGATGTTCTATGGATCCCCATCTTTACCTTATTTGCGGTTTTATGTCTTTTCTTTTTGTCAGTTCTGTAAAGCAAGAAAGAAATGCACATATTAAAGCAACACCAGTGCTTGCTCATAATATAAACAATTTGTTCATTTAAGCACATGAACTCAGAAGTACTGTCACAAGAAGACAAAGGGACATTCCATTTTACAGTATGTACATTTTACAAATGGACTGTTTTCTGCCTGTGACAGAAACCTAAGTTGCTTTGCTGGCTTATTTTTTATTACAGAAAATGTCCTGATGGCCTGAAATCACAATACAAGATGAGCCTGCCTGAAGAAACAGTTAGGTTTTCACAATTTTTAATGTCTTTTTACTTTCTTAAAGAAAGAACGAACTACTAAGGGAAGGAGTTATTAAAATCACAAATGAATGTACACACACACACACACACACATTTACATATGCATCTACACAGACACATGTATATGCATACATATACGCACATTGCTACATTTTAGCTCCACTACCCTAGGAGCGGAGCTCAGGGACGCGCTCAGCGGGACCAGAGCAGGACACCTGCAGGCCAGCGCCACCCGGCAGGCACCCGGCCAACCTCCTGAGGCCAATCCAGCCCTCCCAATGTCCAACGCAACACAGGCGCCTCTTCTGGCAGGCCAGACTTGTTTCTACCAATATATCCACCCACTCAAGTGAAGAACTGTAAGCAAACCAATACAGTCTGGAAAAGAAGTTTAAAAAGCACTTAACATGCCCCTCATTAATAGCATCTTACAGGCTAGAGATTTAGACTCTAGCACAGAGGGCACCTGAAGATACTACAACAGAAGTTGTATAAAACTACACAGCAGAAAACACAACGAGCAGAACAGACAGCTATCAAGGGAAATGTGTCAGTGGCTGCTTTGTCTGCCCTTTGGTGAGGAATTTGAAGGAGATAGAGGTGTTTGGTTACTTCAGATTTATTTTGAATCTTTTTACGCAGAGGTATCTTCCATGCACTATTTAGTAAGTGCTGAATCCATAGAAATCCATTTTGAAAGAAAAGCCACTATTTTTACAGTTTAGATTAGGACACATAGTAAGTTTGCTACCCATACTGTTTTTTTCAATCTTATGCTCCTCCAGCTGACAATTTCCCACAACACCTCCACTACAATGCAACGACAATGCAAACAACAATGAAAGCTGGTATCAGCATAAAAAGTCTAAAATCTCCTCTTTCTATAGCCACTTACATGAAGTAAGAATCACCTCCCATATCTGAAAGTTAATTTCAGTCACATTCATGCAATATGAAACTTACTGGCAAGCTGTTTTAGCGAGGGAGAGCCGGGGACAGGTACTGCGCTTGTGACCTGCATTGCCACAAATGAAGCAGCCAGCGTCGGTCCTCTCACAAGAATGGTCTTGAAGAGCACAGCAGTTGCATTTGTCACAATGAAACCAGGCTGTAAAATGCATAGCAAGATCTATCATCTCAGAGAGGCTTATAATGGTCATTTTGAAATCAAGCTTTTTCACTTAGAGAAATTGCCTATGCGTTTATAAAATTCTCATTTAAAAGTCTGCAAAACTAGGAAAGTCCTAATATTACAAATCAAAACGTGCAAGTTGTTCTATAAAAAATGTTCGTGGAATTTAGCATGCCTTGACTTAGCAGGAATTCATCACATTTCCACAGAGTGGAAACCTACCCAATCAACTTATTTACTGACAATTTCTGAAATTGAGATTTTTTTCTTCCTTTATTCTTGTGTCCTGAATTATTACATTATATTTCTTCTATATATTCTGGCTTGTCATGTCAGTTTTTTTTGGATTATAGCTTAAACAGCAAGTGCACTTTTCCTTAGAAAAATATTTTCCTGTACTTACACGGTTTTACACATTTGTTGCAAAGAGCACAATGCTTCCATCGTCTTCCATCCTAGAAAAGATGAATGCATTTTCTCTTAAAAAAAAATCCAAACAAACCCATTGATTCCATCTTAAAACTGAGCTAGCAATATATTTTATTACAAAACAACATGTACTTTGTAAAGAGCGTAAAAGCAAGAAGCTTTTAGAATCTGTGACAACCACAGCAGAATTGCCACACTTTGAAGCTCACAAGTTCTTCAGTTTCCCAAACTTAAATAAATAAATAAATTACCCCTCAAAAGAGAATATCACAAAGAGCAAGCAGCGAACTTCTGCAGCCCTCCTTCCAAGCCAAAGGAGTCATGAAACAGGAATTAATCCCCAGGGAGTTAGAAATGACATCCTGAGAAGTTGTCTGAACTGAATTGGCTAGGGTTTTCCAATGAAATCAATGCCAGAAGAGGTTTTTACCATGGCAAAAAATACCAAAGTTATTTGACTAGTGCAAAATTTGCAGAAATAACTCAAAATACTTACTTTAGATGTACACGAATTGCATATCTCACAGTGTTGGTTACCAGAGCTAACATATCTCTGACATATAGTGCAAAACCTGGCAGAAATAAAGTTACAAATACATTGGTATATACTTGCTCAAGAAATCCAAAACTACATAAGCAAGTTTTATAGAGTCGACAGTAAGGGTAAGGATTGCAAAATCACTTTGCTAAATGAAAGATAATGTTCTTGATTCACATTACTACTTCAGACCAGAGCCTCTCAATCATTGAGACACCTGAACTAGAAAATACTAAAATTCATGTGCTTGAATTCAAATTAGCAATACATATTGCATTCAAAAGTTTGGCAATAGCAATAAAATTTGGGACTGCATGGCCCAAATAAAAACACACTCTCATAGTCACTTCAGCGTAAAGACATCTTACCTATAACCCTCTTCAACAGGGAGTACAATCATCCTTGGGGTGATGTTGGTGAAGATACGAACAGGAGATTGCCTACGACCTGTCTTGCCATGTTTATAAAGTGCATGATTGTCATAGTCTACCTGGAAAATAAGGAGAGAAGAAGGGGGAAAAGGTCTTGAACTGAACGGTTATCATAGACAGAACATACAAATTTATTGTCTTTATAGATATCTTATTAAATTCTTATTTTTATATAAAAGACTAACTCCTAGTCAGAGTACAAATTTTACAGCATTTCTGAATTCATGTACCATAACAGAAGGCTAGACTCCAGAAACACACTTCCTAACACTACAGTTTTTAACTTTTCCCTTTTTATTCTTTTGCACTAGATAACTGTGATATTGCAGTTGTTACATTTTTCTTTAAACGAGGTGTTTTTTCCTGTTAAAAAAAGAACTATTTTTTTGTCTTGTAGTACAAGAGTTATTATGCATCTTAACCTATCCAAAATAATTAAAATAGCTGCAAATCCAATTAGCGCTGCTTCTTGCAGACCCTGGCACGAAGATTTTCCTCTATGAACACTAGCAGGAATTTTTTTTTTGTTCATTAATACAGCTTTCCAGTCGTCTTCTACAAATTTCCTTTCTATGAAATTGGTTTTCTGCAATACCTGGTACAATCTTAAGGCAGAAGAGAAGTGAAACTACCCTTGAAGATAGAATTCTCTTTGCTTCCTGACCCAAGTGCCAAGAAGTAGCTTTACGTAGCTGTACAGGATATACTTCCAGCAATAAACAGTAAAGAGATCACAAAACATCTTAGCAAATATGTTGTTGTGTTCAAATCCTTAAGTTCATTTTTTACACAATTATGAAAACTTCCATTGTTACAGTTCCATTCTGATTCTAGCAGTTTTGCAGATGAAACACAAAAAAAAAAAAAAAAGAAGGGGGGGGCGCTATTGACATTTCAACATTTTGGAAAAACACAATAGCGTTTCAAGTTCTCTGTTTTGCAATAACATGCACTTGTTGAAATTACTGTAAGTTTTGTCCCATTGAAAACATTTTAGAACAAACGAATGGACAAAAGACTGGAAAATTAAAAGGTAAGTAAAACTGCAGCAGTGTGACACAGTTTATCAAATGTAGGCCTTATACAAATTCACAACCCACAGTCTACATGATGGGCATCAGAGGGTTTGCAATGCCTCCCCAACAGGAGAATGGAAGTTGTGGAAGGCCATCTGCAAACAAGCCGATCCATGATCCACTTTGACTGATTTTCTCATTTGCACAGCACACCACAAATCAGCAAGGCCTCTGGTCTCACTCATACTGATAACCCCCTCGCACGGAAGCTCAGGGGACTCAGTGGCCTTAGTCATACCTGATAGTCCATCATACTGAAGCTTGGGAAAAACTCAAGAATGCGAGACTCAAAGAAGTATGGAAATATCCAGAACATGGGCATCTCTTGCTTGTTATCACCTAGAAGTGCAGAGAGTCAGATGTACTTTAAAGAAAAACAGCCTACATGAAGCATGAAAAGTTTACATTAACTGCTCTCAATGTATGTATGTCATGCAGGTCATAGGATCTACTTCCTAGGATGACAGGATGTTTTTGGCATATTTATATGGAGTGGTAAGTTAACTCAGACCACCTGTTTCACCTCCCTAGGTTGGTAAGAAGTAATACTGGTTTGATAGTTTGTTCTTCTCCCCCTTTAAAGTCTATGTCAATTGTAAAGTGGATTTTAGTAGATAATTATAGATATTAAATAATTATATAATAGATAAGAGGTATTATTTGACCAAGTATTAGTAAATCAAATATTTTATCATTAGAAACCATAATATATGTGTTAGCACTGACTAGAATATCCAAAATTATGGACTTTTAAATATGTGCTTTTTCTTAGGGTGATATTACAAACTCAACCCACCTATCTGCTTGTAATACCTTCTTTTTCTGTCTCCTTCCACATTGCCATCATCTTTTTGAAACTAGAAGCCAGTGCTTCCACCAATCCTCCAAAAGGGGGATCAGTCACCATAATGACTCTTTCACCTGTGTCTTGGTACAAGAATTGCTGGCAAGTTTCATGTGCGGCCTGAGAGAGACACAAATTACAGCTCTTGAATCTACATTTCTGGAAACTAGATTGTATTTGGCAATGAAAAGATTATTTTAGCAGTTACAACTTTGAAGAAGTAATTCATTCTTCTTGTGTTGGTGAATGTAGGATTTCAGGGAAAAAAAAACAAAACCCAGCATACACCAGAACTGCAGCATTGAAAACAATTGCCTTATTCAGTTTGAGCTGATGTATCAAGGCATTTATAAATTGGAGATTTTAGCAATCCAACACTGACTCCATTATTTTAAAAAATAATTTAAAAAGCAACATAGTCATCATCCCAATTTGGCTTGCAGTGTTCCCTCTATTACTCAGCTTTATTGCAATTAAAAATAGATTTTTCTCTACAATATTAATGTTCTGAAGTGCTGCAATTTGAATGCTTAAATGATACACTGCCATCACAGCTATCAACTTTCCACATCTTGAAAAGAAAACCAGAGTACTATTCATGCAGCTGAATAAGGTCTTTTGATTTAATTCAATAACATGAACTCTGAATAGAGTGTTGGATTAAAAAGACTCAAAGACAAGGCTTCAGACCAGCCCTCAGCTTCCTTTAGACAGCTTTTTTTTTCTCTCTTTTCAAGAACCCATTCAAAACTAGGTTTTAGAACACAAAAATATGGAAGCTATCCAAAAAGTGGGAACAGTATCACAATAAGTACATTTATGTAAGTTAGAGATGGCCTAGTACTAATGACAGGGGAAGAGCAAACAGCAATTGTGTAATTACTGAGATAAATACTTTGAAAGTGTTTGGAATTTAATTACACTATGATTATACTATGAAATAGTCAAGAAATGTTTGGTCTTACCTCTCCACCAAAAAAATAATGATTAAACATGTTATAGTGGCAGAATTCATCCTCTGTATAGAACTGTGAATACCTGTAAAGTAAATTTTAAAATTAGTAGAAAAATAGAACAGCATCTTGTCTGCTCTAAAGAGCATTTACAGTTAAAAAGCATTCTGATTACTTACAACAATACTAACACTGTGAACAATGAAGTACAAATATTTTCCTCAAACCGTAGGTGTCATGGATGAATGTGTGTGGAAGGGGAGATGCAGAGTGGGGAAAGTGAAAGAAAAGCACCATTCTCAAACATAAGAACAGACAACTTGTAAATATGTGCAGAAGCCTGTATTCTTCAGACAGGTATATGCTTAGAAAACCTACCTGAAATCAATATCTAGTAGAAGGCTTCTAACGCCGAAATCTTCGTCTTGTGACGCTTTTGACTGAATCATTTCATGAAGTCTAGAATATAATGAAAAAAAAGAGAAATGTAACATATAACCATATGCTTCAGAAAATATCTTGCAAGACACAAATGCCTGATTCTTTACTAAAATTAAAAATAGCTACAGAAAACTGAATAAACAAAAAATATAATAACAATGTGACTCCATTTGGCTAATATTTATAGTTTAAAACATGTCTGTCTTAAAAAAAAAAAAAAATTAAAAAGCCAGTGAACACTCTTCAATCCATTGTGAAGAAATCAAATGCAAGCAAAGAAACTCATTGGCACTTTTGCAGCAAATAAAGCAGGAGATTTTAACTGGCAGATTTCTTTTAGATTGTAGTGCAGATATAGTCATCTTGCAGATATAGTCACCTTGCATATCTTACCAGATCAAAGCAAGATCCCACTAGCTGCTTGGATAATCCCCAAAAATTAAAGACTAGTGAACTACTTACCGAGGGAGAAAATTCTAGATTATTTTAATATTAGTAAGCTGCACGTTTTTGAGACAGATTTGGAAGATGTAACAATCACCACAAGATACCTGGGTGTGCCAACAGAGAGCACTCGTCTGAATCCTAAGGCAATAATAAGATCCAGCAGGAACTGGCAACTTCTGTCTGCAAACAAATACTGAGCATTTGTCTTCTTGTTCTCCAGGGGATACAAAAGTTGACTGGGAGTTTTTAACTGGGCAGTGGAGATATCACATTGGAACTGGTGGCCACTGTGTTCTTGCCATTCAGATGGCAACAGTAATTGCTGGCAATCCTGACAAAACTTCCTCTGTGAGAGCGGCAGAACAATAAAATTCTTTAATCTTTAAACACAAAAGACAAAAAGGAACAAATTTTGGAAAGACATCTATAAAAGATATAAAGGAGAAGTTCATATTTTGTAAGAATTTGAACAGTTAAAAGGCATGCAGTTTAAGCTTGTGTTGCAAAAACCCACCAATGAAATATTTATTTAAAAAAAAAAAAAAAAAAAGAAAGGCCACTCTGACAGCAAGTAACATGCTACCCAAAAGTGTTGAGACACTCAATAAAGTTACTGGATTACACTATCCACTACTATCAAGTGGACTCTATATGCACAGAACCGGGATTACTTGTTACTCTGTTACCTTTACTTGCTTGCACAACATGAACTTACAGCCTGGCATTTCTGCACAGTACACTGAAAATTACAAATATTTTTTTTTTGAATTCAAACTGCTACTGACCTGCTGTTGGCACATAATATGAAAAGAAATGCACAGACAAAAAAAAGTATATATGTAATTCCCAGGTTGAAATATTCAATTAGGTCATAATATTTCCCCTTTGCATACAACAGTTCTCATTTTCCCAAGTCCCTTCAGTTTGTTTTTATATTTTAAAAAAGAAAATCCTAAAGCATTATATCTACATCTGAATACTTAAATTTACATTAGCCTGTTTTTAATTGAAGAAAATATTTAGAAGAAAATACCTTTCCACGTTCTGTCTGTGAGTAAAAGAAGGCTGATGATTTCTATTATATTCTTCACGTGCTGCAAGCCTAGCTTCCGACACCTGCAAAATTTATGTACGTATATAGACGCTCAGTTACAAAACAAAGAGACACAGCTCTGTATTGCAGATTAAATCTCACCGTTAAGCTAGAAAGGTGCAACCTCTGCTCAGAAAAATTCTCATAGCCGTGTGATTATGGAGCCGCAAGAACAACTGTGTTCACACCAGTGTCACGTGTAGCGGCACACTGCGTAACACCACTCCCATTCTGAATTCAAACTATGCAAACTTATAATAAATAACTTATTTATTTTCCACTGCAAGAATACTGTGAAGAGAAAAATAAAAAATAAGTACCTTCTCATCTTCCCACTGGAAGAAGCTGCAGTCCTTCCTATCCCTGCAAGCCGAGCAGGCGTAAAACCTCCTCCCCTGCTCCTGCGCTCGGCTCGTCTTCACGAAGAGAAGCGTGGGCCCTGGCGAGGCGCAGCCGTTACCGCGCGATGGTTTCAACCGCCCCTCTCACGACGGGGCCCTCCCGACCTCCCG